AAATATTTTGAACCTTAAAACCCTCAAAACTAAACTCTAATTCAACATAGTTAACCCAAATATAAATGATATAATAAAAAAATAATTTTGAAAAAGCATCACTTGAAAAATTGAAAAGTGACATTTCTTAAAATTTCTCAAAAAAATAAATATGGAGAAGGTCACGACATAAATTGACCAGATGATAATAGTATTGCTAAAGAAATACATGAATCATGATACAATATGCATATAACTTTATAAAATATTATTTTTAGATACAATTAAATGCAGATATTTATTTCAATATAAAAAGAAAAAATTGATTTCTATTTTCACTGGAATGCTTTATGAATATTTAAAATTATTTAAATCCATAATATCATTAGCATAGAAGAAAACATTAAAAAACAAAACCATATTTGTTGATAAGAGAAGAATGGAAAAAATGTTCTAAATGTAAATCGGATGTAAACGAATTCAACAATATATATTAGCGTGAGTTAGGCGTAGGTTATTAGGGATTCAAAAATAATAAATTAGTTTTTGGGCTATCAATATTCTAATAATAGGCATATGAAGATATTTTTGTGTACACATTTAATATTTTTGTGTATAGAATTAATAAGAATAATAATGGGCTAAGTATTTATGATTAGTGGATTTAATTAGAGAGTCCAATTGCCATGTCATATTTTATCATTGCCATGTCATAATAAAAATGGGAGAATGATTCTAGAGAGGACCAAGCTAATTACTTCTCTATTAATATATAAGAGATTATTAAGAGAATTTTTTAGAAATGCCATTTTGAAGTGTTACTTTTCAACAATGACACTTTTTAAAAATCTTTGTCAAAATACCACTTTTTCAAAATCATTTACTTAATATATCATTTATGTTTGGGTTATGTTGTATCAAAGTTTAGTTTTAAGGGTTTATGGCTTATTTGGAGTCAAAACCTTTTTAGGATTTATATTTTTAAGATTTATGATTTAAAAATCTTTAATTATTGGTATTTTTGAAAATAGACACACCAAAAATGGTATTTTTGCAATTAACCCTATTATTAATTAGTGTTTATATAAAGAGTTTCAACAAGTGATTTTTTTTTGTTTATGTTTCAACTCAACTCGAGTTGAGTTGAATTTACGTGCTCATGAAATAATGACTTATTTTGACATCCATAATTGTACATATACGTTCACTAAGTACAGTATTATAGTTAAATAATAACTAATCTTGGACAAATCCTACCAGCTCAATTAACTATTCCAGCTCAGCATAAAACCCTCACGCATCACTCCAATAGAGGGAGGGCTTAACTAGTACCCAATTAACCAGATCAGGTTCCAATAGAGGGAGGCCTTAATTAACTAGTACCCATTTTAATTTTTTTATTTCTTTAGCCCTAAAAGTTCGTACTGCACCGCACCACTGAATATTTTTAATAATCAAATAACATTTCATTAGTCCCGAACAAGAGTCTCTCTTTGGTCTTTATATATAACATCGACCCATGTACACAAAATAAGTCATCATTCTATTTCTTCTTCTCTCTTTGAAAGTAACTAGAGACTCTTTAGAGCTGAGTGGTCATCAAAGGGTGTTTATG